CCTCTGAAAAGTCTGTGGCAAGAATTATTATGACCCCATATCTTCCTTTCCCCCACTCCCCAGTATTACAACAGCCCCCATATCTGTAATTAGCATCACACTTGAATGTATCCTGCATCCCCAACATTATACCAGTCCCCCATGACAGTCCCCAACGAGGGGGGATGTGAAGGTGTAGAGCTGACTTGAGAGTTAGTATACCTCTGAAAAGTCTGTGGCAAGAATTATTATGACCCCATATCTTCCTTTCCCCCACTCCCCAGTATTACAACAGCCCCCATATCTGTAATTAGCATCACACTTGAATGTATCCTGCATCCCCAACATTATACCAGTCCCCCATGACAGTCCCCAACGAGGGGGGATGTGAAGGTGTAGAGCTGACTTGAGAGTTAGTATAGCACATGTCTATCATGTGCAGATGTGCACTACCAATAGAAAGACATGCTACCTGCTGTGGGTGCTCTACTAATCAGGTGGGTAGCATTTAAATCTCTTCTGGGTGGCTGCCTAAGAACTCAGTTTACAGGAAATACTGGTTAGTGTAATCTCTATTTGTTCCCTCCCCTTGACCCTTTAATATTAGACCAGCATTCTCTACCCCCACACATTTATGTTAGGGCTGTAAATAGGGCTAATCTGGGGGTTAGCATAACTACTGCATATTTCCCTCTTACCCCACTCACTAACATTAGGCAAGTGCTGTCCTTCCCCCAATAATATACTTGTAGCTAGGCATAAGGTTGGGATTAGCATAAACCTTGTATAGCCTCCTCTCCCAATAACATTACATCAGACTTTCCCTCACTTTTACACAAGGATGAAAATATCTTAAATTTCTTACAAGTATTGTTGTATCACAACAGGAGTCCCTCGGGGGGCGGGGCAAGTGTCAGGGCAGGAGACTGAGGGGGAGTTGTGATCAGACAGTACCTGTAAGAAATGTAAGTGTGGAATGGAGTGTAGGGGGGCTCACGGCAGGGGATTGGAGAGGTGGGTGTTGGGAGCTCAGAGCAGGGGGTTACTGGTTTGGGGTTGGGCAAGGAGTTAGGGCAAGAGGTTGGGAAGTGTGGGGGCTCAAGGTGGAAGGTGCAAGAGTTAAGGCAGGGGTCTGGAATGGGGAGGATCAAGGCTGGAGTACCCAGGAGCAGGGGCAGCCACCACCAGCATCCCCAGGGCTGGAGCTGGCATCAGCTGAAGGTAGGGAGGATGTGGGGGTGTAAGAGTCATGGCAGGGAGTTGTGGAGTCAAGGCAGGGGTGTGGAGAGTGTGGGGATGTGGGAATCAGGGCAGGGGTTTGTGGGGTGGGGGTGGGGGCTCAGGACAGA